TGTTGCATCAGATTTTTGGAAATATATTTTTAGTTATGAAGATTATGGAAATAGCAGTAGCGAGGCTTGAATATTTCGTTGAATTGGTTATACACATATTCAAAAATTTGCAGTAGCAGATATAGAAAATTATTATTATTATTATTATTATTATTATTATTATTATTATTATTATTATTATTATTACTATTATTATAATAATAATTTTTACTATTATTATAATTGTTGTTATTATTATGATTATCAAATGTTAGTATCACTATTTCAATACTTATAATGACATTGAGAAAGTCGGTCATGTATAGGTGAATAGTTTTGATACGATACGATTATGTAGTTCATTCACATAAGTGTATAATAAGATTAAAATCGTAATGAATAGATCAACTTTATAGATAATAAAAACAGCAAAAGATTAAGATAGAATATATTTCGTTGGAAATAATACATTGAGAAGTATTAGTCATCAAGCTATCTATACGTTTGACTTTTAAATAAAATCTACTCGTTTATCATTAATTTGCAATCAATCATCTATACCCTAATCTAATATGAAAACAAATAAATGATTACAATAAAATATTCAGTCTACGAAGTACGTTGAAGGAAGCATTTTCCGTTACGAGAAGATTCATTATATTGAATTAAACAAATAAATGATTATTATGATAAAATATTCAGTCGTACGTGAAAGTACGTTGAAGGAAGCATTTTCCATTACGAGAAGATGATTTAAATCAAAATTTTTGAAATGAAATTTTATGTCTAATCATTTCTACTCATTGAAGATAAATAGAAGAGATGAAATCTTTTCCTTTCTTTTAGAAGCAAACATTAAAACCAAAGCAACCTGGAGAATGGGATCGAGAATGGGATGCTGGAAAGATAAGGTTTTACCATTTTCCTCCCGGTATTTCGTAGAAATGAAATAAGTATGATCAGGTCATTGAATATAATAATTAAATACTTTTGAATTTTTCGTCATTTTTTGGAAAATTTTCAAGAGAAATTTTAAGAAGGCATATTTTAAAGAGTATTTTAATTATAGGAAATGAAATAAAATATAATATTTTGATATAGTATAGTTAATATAGTATAATATAGTGGTAAGATAATGTAATATAGAGGTTGAGTATAATATGGAGTATAATATAAAGTATAATATAGAGGTATAATATAGAGGTAATCTAGTATAATATAGAGGTTGAGTTTGTTTTTCTTCTAAATTCTTACAATTTCTTCATCTGTTGATTCAGTTTCTCTGAAATACTTTCATTTCATTACTCTTTCTTTCCAGTCTTTCATAATTATATTTTTATCTTTAATAATAATAATTTATAATTTTTCATAGTCATAATCGTATCATACATTTAGCGTTGAAAATTGGAAAGAAAATGTACCCAACATCAGCAATAACAGAGGATTCAATGCGCATTTTTTACATCGAATGAAGAATCGTAGTAGTGGTGCCAGATACAACAGTAATGTAACATCGAAAAAGATTGCTGAAATGGAGAAGAAGCAAAAGTTGGAAGGTGCCAAAGTGATAGCTTGCGTTGAAACAAACAAAAATACATCACTACCAAACAAAAAAGTATTCTTTTTAATTATTCATTTATAATAATTGAATTTAAAAAATTTTACTTATTATTGTTAATATCAAAGTTTTTTTTAATCATAAGAAATAGTAATAATTGATTACAAAAATCTGAAACTCTTAAATACATGATGAAGATTAATGTAATTATGCGTACCTTAGATTGACATACTTGTAGTTGTCATCAAAATCTACATACTTGTAGTTATTATCAAAATACAAAAATCTGGAACTCTTAAACACATGGTGAAGATTAATGCAAAACTATACGTGATCTTAGATCCTCTTAAATATGTGATGGAGATTAATGTAATTATGCATGACTTTAAATTTACATACTTGTAGTTGCCATCGAAATCTACGTACTTGTAGTTATTATCAAAATACAAAAATCTGGAACTCTTAAATATATGATGAAGATTAATGTAAACTACATGTGACCTTAGATCTACGTATACTATCAAGTATCATTAACACTCAGTATATGATGTTATATTCAAGTGCCACATGTGACAAAAAATAAACATGAATGAAACTTTCTACATTCCTTTACAAATTAATTTCTGTTTGATTACATTTATCAATTTCAGTATAATTGATTTTCAGTAATTAGTAGGACTATTTTTAAATGATGCTTAAAAGTTTGTTGTTATTTGATAAGTAAAAATCTTTCAGTTTCATTAGGTTATTTTGAGGTTAATATATCACCGATGTATCTGTGATGTTTAAGATAATCTAAAATTGCTTCTATTAAAAATTATCATCAATAATTCAATCGATTAAAAAGCAATCAGTCTTTTAATAGTCGATAATTTAAGATATTTGATGGTAAAAATTCAAAAAATTTGAAAAGTTCGAGTAATGGGAAGGATGGTAGTGACGATGGTACAATATTACGGAACACTTATTGCGTAGTGAATAATAGATTGAAACAATCTCATATATCTTCCAATGAACAATCGAACAGACAACGAATTGGAAATTATACCAAATCATCATCCGGATCATCCAGAAAGCGATATTCGATTCGACGAGTTACTTCCACTGCTGCTACTGTTTCGATGCCAACAACGGTTAAAAAACAATTGGATACAGTTAAAGTGAATGTTTCGATGCTTAAATTAAAAAAGGTTCTCATTTCGAAGTTTGATTTCAAGAAAAGAGTTTGAATTAATTTTCTTAAGCCTAAATTAGGCAGCATAGATTTGGATTAATTTCTGAAATGTTCAGATCAAAAATTTTCAATTAAATGTTTCGATATTTTCATCAATGCTTATTTATGTGTACATTTATCATCTTCACATTCAATAATTAAGATTTCAGGTACTAAAAGATGACATTACTCATTTTTCAATTCCATGCATGCGCAAAATGATAAACCTGCTTTTCGAAATATTCATGTGATATTAAAGTNTTTATGTGTACATTTATCATCTTCACATTCAATAATTAAGATTTCAGGTACTAAAAGATGACATTACTCATTTTTCAATTCCATGCATGCGCAAAATGATAAACCTGCTTTTCGAAATATTCATGTGATATTAAAGTAAAATCAAAATCGATATGTTTTTGGAAGATAATTAGAATTTAATTGCCAACAAATTTTCTCACACAGAAAACTTAAATCAATTTTAATTTATAATTTGCTCTAAAATAATTCCTTTGGCTAATTCGAAATGAAATTGGAATTTATTGATAATTAAATTTAACAACTTTAATTGCCATCAATTATATATTTCTATTTTATATGAGCAAATCGGAAGTATTATTGCATTTTAGTTAGTTTTGAGGATGAAATATTAAGCTTAAAGAGTTTCGGTGGTTGACTCCTCTGGCTATATTGACTTTATGGCGCAATTGATGCAACTGTGCTGGTCAATTGCGCAACTAATGTCTTGTGTATGTGTGGATGGATATGTTGAGGAGAAGAATGAGTGTTTATATTTGACTTCAGAATATTTACTTTCTTTCAAAGCATTCCTCTTTCTACATATTTTCACCTCTCTATCGTCTCTCCGCATATTTCTAGGATATGAAATTTCAACGAGATGAAGAGCTGCTGCTCTATGTGCGCCTCTGTTTTCCGTTGAAATGGCAAAAAGGCGAAATTTGATACTAAATCACAGTATCCCATTACCAATTGGTTGCTTGTTCCTCTCTCTTTCTAACTCTTTCATTTTTCTTTCTCACCCGCCTTCAACATTTCCCGTTATTTCCCATTCCTGGGAAATTATGAATGAATAGAGATGAGAGATATTTCAGGATGTTGCGAAGACGATTGATAAAAGCAACAATAACATCGATAAAGTTGACAACAACCTCCAGAAGTTGTCAACAATAGCCGTCGGCAATGCGGCAATCTCAACAGCCCCAATCCAAACCATTGCCGAGGAGTACGGTAATTGATTAACAGAATTTTTGGAAGTTTATTAAAAGATGTCGAAAATTCCCGAAATTTGGTATATTTCTTCCTAAGCAAATAAATAAATAATAATTCATCCAATTCACACCTAATGTTTCAATGACGCATATTCCAGATTATATTCTTAAATCTTTTGGTGATAAAGTTAATTTGAGGATTTCTTCTTTCTTCTAATCCAAATTTTCATTTTTCTATCACAACAAATTATGCAGGTAGTCCACTAGGTAAGATACCAGCATAATTTGTTGCGATAGGAAAAATGAAAATTTGAGTTACACCAAACAAAATATTAAATGGGTCCTCCCACACTTCTAATCAATAAATTTTGTAGCCAGATGAAACCAATAAATATTTGTTTTTAAATGGCAAAAATTCTTTTTACATATGATGATAATGTGATATTTATGAGTTATCAATTTGTCATAAAATCGATTAAATGATTGATATATTTTTAATTCATTAAAAATTTTTATGCATAAACTTTTATCGAATTCATTGAAATATTTCTTTTAAGTTAATAATTTCAATTAATTAGTAATAGCTGGAATAATCGAAATAAGAAAGAAAGAAGTAGTATTTCCCACTCCCACTACTAATTCATTTTACTCCCTTTTTGCTTTGTCCTGCCATTAGTGGTCATTTAAGTGTTTTGTCGGTAACTCTTTGAACACTTAAATCACTTTCTCTAATATTGACCAATTCTAATTTTCATTAGAAGGAAGTCAAAAATTATCGTTTCATAAAAAGTTTGAAATGAAGAATGCTGATATGACATCTTAAAGGATGCCATATACACGGTGTATACAAAATTATGGCTGTGATCCCGAAATTGAGAGATAATATGGCCGGATATCATTGGATAGAATAATTGACATAAAGCTGATGGAGTGGTTTTCTCGGATAGTGGATTAAACCATCCGTTCATTCTCAGTAAATTATTTGTCTGGCTTCAGGTGAACTACTAATGTCTTATCTTGTTCCATATATTGGCTATGTCTGTTAGCTCAGCTGGTTCCTTTCCGGGATGATTCAGAAAACCTTTTTTGCATCTTCTTCCTTTCTTATATCCAAATAATAATTTGCACACATTATTTATATGTAAATTAGAATTTAATTAATTGAAATCGTAACATTGCAATATTTTAAGGATTATATTTACAAATGAAATTTTCAAATTTTGTTATCCATATTTCAAATAAATGTAAATATTTTATCTATAAGATAAAATTGAACTAATAACCGGATTACAAACCGGATTACTAAGTTTAGGTTTAATTGGATGAATTAATAATTATCATTATCTCTTTCCTGTAAAATATCAAAACGGTAAAAAAAATTCATCGATTTATTTCTTCACCGTTTTCTGTTATTTCATTATTTCTTTTCAAATATTTCAATATCAGCTCTTCATTTTATTTCTATGAAATACATTTGTCACAGAAAGGGTAAAAGTTCCGACTAATTAATTTTAAAATATATTAATTACAAAGGTATTCCATTTCAGATATCAATTACAACGATTTCATTCTAATGGACGATGTTAAAAAAGTATTGGAAGAAATGTTATTACAAATGAAATGAATTAGCAACAAATGATATTTTATTTTTCTATGATAAATTTTCAATTATATAATTCATACATTTCATTACTAACATGTTTTCATTAAAGAAAGCTTGGTGACAGATTAATGAATTAATTGTTTATTAATTTATCTGTCCTTAAAAACTTTTATGCTGCTACCTTACACTATTATTTTCTTAATAATGAATTTGATGTTTTAAATATTTTTAAATTTTATAATACTATGAAAAAGAGTGAATAAAAGTGAACGAATGATATATCGGCTGGCATAAAATCATTTACCTCTCTTCGCTTACTTCAAAAGAAAATGAAAACATTGAATTTATATGGGTTTCTTTCATAACATGAAAATCAAACAAATAATGACTATTTTTTGGCGCAAATGGAAATGATAAGAAAGTGATAAGAATATATAAAACAGAAGAACTAAACAATTCCAAAAGGTAATCCAAGTTTTAATATACTAAAAAGCCTAAGCTTGAATTTATGGACTAATATGTGAAGCTTCTTCAATGAGCCCTAAAAGTTCGATTTTTTTAAATCAAAATATTTTTACGCATTAAGAATATGAAAAGATGCGCTAATTAATGTTATTGTCTTACTTTTATTATTTTCCTAATAGAACTTCTTTTTATGGAAAGTCTAATTTTTTAAACATTTAAGCGATAATATTTCCTCCTATTTTAGTAAAGTTTTTTTAAGTCTTTTTTTTCCACTTTATCATTTTGTCCGAAAGTTTTCACTCAATTTAAACATAATACCTGAATTGTCGTAATATTGCAGCAATAAAGGTGTGTGTGTGTGTGTGTGTGTGTGTGTGTGTGTGTGTGTGTGTGTGTGTGTGTGTGTGTGTAACTAAAGAGGAACTTCAAAGTAGAAAAGAAATACTTATAGGAAATGCTTCTTTTGAATAAAATTTATCTATCACTAATTATTTGATACGTAACTTTGTTTCTGTTATTCTTAGCCTTCATCTTAGCCCCCTTTATTATATTAAATGTTAGAAGATAGACGTGTTGCCACACGTTTGCAAAATATTTCACATTTTATTTTATAGCATTTTCAAATAAGGAAAAAACGAAAAGGAAAGGAAGAAGTGAAACTTCAGATCTAAACTATCGCGGTAAAAATTTCCTCTATTTCGCAAAAAAAGGATTAAATAAGAAGAAAACAAAGAAAGAAGAAATTTTTGAGGGAATCAATAATCGCAAGAAGTAAAACATTAAAATTTAAAGGAATCAATAATCGCAAGAAGTAAAACAGTTAAATTTTGAAGGAATCAATAGTCGCAAGAAGTCAAACATTCAAATTTTAATGGAATCATTAATCGCAAGAAGTCAAACATTCAAATTTTAAAGGAATCAATAATCGCAAGAAGTAAAACATTCAAATTTTAATGGAATCAATAATCGCAAGAAGTAAAACAGTCAATCAGAATATGACCATAGTTATCTGTAAAATCATTGGAAAGATACTGGTATTTGAAATGTAGCAAATGCAAGTCATCAAATTCTATTTTGTATATCAACTCTCATTATTTTTCACTTTTAGTTTTAGATGAAATTTTTTCCTTATTTTGAAATGAGTTTATTAATTTTATTTTTTAGCTATTATCTCTTCTCATCCATTTCTTCCCAACAAATATGTTGCCATTACTGTTTAATAGTTTGAGTAATATGTTTATAAATCAAAATTCGACAATTGAGAAAACAAAATATACCGTAGGAAAATTTTGAAAAATCATAGAAGAAAAAAATTTTGAAAAGATAATGGAAATTTGGAGGAAAAAATAACAAACATTTCTAATAGATTATATCATTGTTATGATTAAATAGAGATATTATCATAATTACTGCTATTACTACATTGTTTGAAGGTATGTGCTTATCAACATTATCACAATTACTGCTATCATTTGAAGGTATGTGAAAGTGTTACCAATGTAGTTGCAACAAACATCACGAGAGTATTAAAACATACATTGCAAAGAATTGGAGTTTAAGCCTGTTGAGGACTGTTGAATGATTGACAAGGCGTTAGGCGAGGATGTTACAGCTATGATTGCCAAAAAGTTGCCAGACGATTACGTCAAAAACTATTGAAATGCTTCGATTTAAGCATCTAGTTAGAAGAAGATGCAATGCATTAGACCGCAGCCCTGATTTCTGGTAATACTACACCACTATCACTATCATCATCATTATCACTATTTTATCATCGTTATCATTATCGGCATTTATTATCGTTGATAATTCGTATTTACTGGAGTAAAATCGTAATAATTTTGTTAATTTCTTCACTTAATTGCTTAAATATTCAATAATTGATCGATGTAAGCTCTATAAGCTAATTATAGATATCATTCTACCTAATTGTTTTATTTACTAAACAATAATTTTTTTTACTCATTCTTAATTTTACTTTATTCTGTTTCGTCATTTCTATTGATAAGATAATTAATGATAAAAAAATGAAATACATAACAAACTAATGGATAAATAATAATATCAAATTCAGTTTTTCCTTTGTAAGTCGATTCAATCAATAAATGAAATATAACATCGAACATCGATTTATTTTGATAAGTTTTATTTATTTATTCAACTTTTTCCTACCAATTCATATTAGTAATAATATATCACAATTTCTCAGTTTTAGAGAAATTTTTTTTGCTTATTTCTACCGTTTCGATTTTCACATGATTTAATGATAAAATTATTTAATGATATTTAATGATTTAATGATATTTAATGATTTAATGATAAAATGATTTAATTATAAAAGTGAACTGTAAAATGATCACTGTAAAATGATCGCATGCGACAATTTAAATTTCTAAAAATTTAACTATTATAAATTATTGAAAATAACGCTTTCACTAACAATCACTATTTTTTATATTGATTTAATCTATTAGTTGAGCTTATATCATTTAGCTTCATTTCATTAGTTATAACTGTGTTAATTACATCATCACTAATAAATTATCAATTAAGTGATTGGTGCTAATTTTTTTTAACACGGCTATTACTTTTCACTTATTATCACTTTATTACCACAACTTATCTATATCTACTATACATCAATTATTTTGCTAGAAATGTAAATTAAAAAAACGATCAATTAGGGGGTGACAAGATGTGATATAGCAGATTGTTGAAAAGTTAGAAACGTTCAATTTATGGTTGGTCTTAGTTGCTGGATGGTTAATCAATGGTTGCTTACTTAGAAAGACCGCCTTTTTCCCCTAAGCCGTAGTATTTTCGATCCCTCCCAATGGGACGTCCCAGAAGAACGACAGTAGTTGAAGCTTTCAAGTGAAAGAGAGAGAAGAGGGTGACGACGCGAATTAGCTTTTCTAAGCAAAACGCACCGCTTTGCTTCTCCCATTTCACGATATCA